AAGACCTTGTTAGACACAGTGGCTCATGCCTGTACTCCCAGCACTTGGGAGGTGGAGTGGGAGGATCACTTGAGCCCCAGAATTTGAGACCAGCCTGGGCAACATAGCAAGACCCTGTCTCTACAAAAATAAAAAAAACGACCTGGGCATGGTGTCACGTGCCTGTGGTCCCAGCTACTTGGGAGGCTGATGTCGGAGGATTGCCTGAGTCCAGGAGGTCGAGGCTGCAGTGGTCCATGTTCATGCCACTGCACTCTAGCCTGGACAACAGAACAAGACCGTGTAAGATTTTGAAGCTCTTGATTGTGTGTGTGTGTGTGTGTGTAAACCAACAGAAGCAGTAGGCAGTCTTTGAGGTTTGGGAGAAAAGAACCCAAAAACTTCCTTACAAAGGAAATAAAGATTTCGTAGGAAAATGCTTTCTCACCTCAAACTATAGGAGTGTTCTACCCAACTTAGGCCTTGTTTCCCATCTCAATAGACCACTATTCAGTCGATTCCCCAAGTGGGAAACTCAAGCATCATCTTAGCATTTTCCTTTGCTCCATCCTCCAAATCCTCTGCATCACCAGTTCATCCATTTATGCAGGAGGAGGACATTAGCAATTGTGACTCCTTCATTCAGCTGTGGCTGTTTTCTCCTTCATACATTTCTCTGAAGACTGCTGTGATTTCACCAGCTCCATCTCCTCCTCTCTCACACTCCCCCAACTCCCTCCAACCTGACGTCTGACCTAGTCACCATGGAAATATCCCCTGCTAAGCTCCCCGGTGATATCATGCCTTGAAACCAACAGCTATCCCTCATCCCTCCTCACATCTCTCAACTGCATCCATGCTCATGGCCCCTTCTTCCTTCTGAAGCCGCTCCCTTCTTTTTAAATTTTTTTTTCTTGAGATAGGGTCTCACTCTCTTGCTCAGGCTGGAATGCAATGGCACAATCTCAGCTCATTGCAATCTCTGCCTCCCATGTTCAAGCAATTTTCATGCCTCAGCCTCCCAAGTAGCTGGGACTGCAGATGTGTGCCACCACACCAGGCTAATTTTTTGTATTTTTGGTAAAGACAGGATTTCACCATGTTGGCCAGACTGGTCTTGAACTTCTAGCCTCAAGTGATCCACCGCCATGGCCTCCCAAAGTGCTGGAATTACAGGCCTGAGCCACGGCACCTGGCCACTCCCTTACTTCTTGACTGCACTCTTCTGTTTTTTTTTTTTTTTTTTTCTTTTTTTTCTTTTAGAATGTATAAAATGAGGCCAGGAGCCGTGGCTCACATCTGTAATCCCAGCACTTTGGGAGGCAGAGGCAGGAGGACCACTTGAGGTCGGGAGCTCAAGACCAGCCTGGCAAACATGGTGAAACCCCATCTCTACTAAAAATATAAAAATTAGCCAGGCATGGTGTCATATGCCTATAGTCCCAGCTACTTGGGAGGCTGAGGCAGGAGAATCGCTCAACCTGGGAGGCAGAGGTTGCAGTGAGCCGAGATCGTGCCATTGCACTCCAGCCTCGGGGACAAGAGAGAAACTCTGTATCAATCAACCAATTGATCAATCATTCAATCAATCAAATGTATAAAATGTAGAGGCGGGGTCTTGCTTTGTTGCCCAGGCTGGTCTCAAACTCCTGGCTTCAAGTGGTCCTCCTACCTAGGCCTCCCAAAGTGCTAGGGCTACTGGTGTGAGTCACTGTGCTCAGCCTTCTGGTTTCTTCTACATCTCAGAAGACTCCTTCTGTGTTTCTTTTCAGGTTCATTCTCCAACCAGGCCAGCACTTAACTAGATTTCTTCACAACTTTGCCTCAATCCTCCTTATTTTCTCTTTCTAGCTCTTTCTAGACCAGTAGTTCTCAAAGTGTGTTCCACGGATCGTTTTCGGGGGGGTTCATGAGGTCAATACTATTTTCACAATACTAAATGTGACTTGCCTTTTTTTGCTATAGTGGCACATTGGGGCTGTGGACACTATAGTGATGGGATGAAACTGCTGGTGTCTAGTATGAATCAGGGCATGGGCACCAAACTGTACTAATTATCACTGCATTCTCCCCAGTCACGCATTTATAGGAAAAAGCAAGCAAGCGGCACCCAAGACTGTACTTGATGAATTAGCAAAAAAAAATTCATAGTTATTAAATTTTGACCCCAGTATGTATTTTTTCATATAGATATCCGTTATTTTAGCACCATTTATTGAAAAGACTATTGTTTCTCCATCAAGTTAACTGGGCACCTTAGTGGAAAATCAATTGATCATATAATTATGGGTCTATTTCTGGACTCAATTTTGTTCCATTGATCTGTATGTCTTTACTTATGCTAAAACCATACTGATTTGATTGCTTTAGCTTTATACACAGTAAGTTTAAAATCAGGTTGCATGACACATATGCACAGCCAAACACACCCAGGCCGGCTCCCATTTTTTTTTTTTTTTGAGACGGAGTCTCACTCTATTGCCCAGGCTGGAGTGCAGTGGCGTGATCTCCGCTCACTGCAAGCTCCACCCCTCGGGATTCATGCCATTCTCCTGCCTCATCCTCCGGAGTAGCTGGGACTACAGGCGCCCGCCACCACGCCCAGCTAATTTTTTTGTACTTTTAGTAAAGATGGGGTTTCACAGTGTTTGCCAGGATGGTCTCGATCTCCTGACCTCGTGATCCCAAAGTGCTGGGATTACAGGCGTGAGCCACCGCGCCCGCCCCCACCCCTTTTTTTTTTTTTTGAGACAGTCTCGCTCTTGCCGCCCAGACTGGAGTGCAGTGGCGCGATCTGAGTTCACTGTAACCTCTGCCTCCTGGGTTCAAGCAATTGTCCTGCTTCAGCCTCTGAGTAGCTGGGACTACGGGCGCATGCCACCACGCCTGGCTAATTTTTGTATTTTTAGTAGAGACAGGATTTTGCCATGTTGGCCAGGCTGGTCTCGAACTCCTGGGCTCTAGTGATCTGCCTATCTTGGCCTTCTAAAGTGCTGAGATTACAAGTGTGAGCTACCGCGCCTGCCCCCCACTTCCCCCTTTTTTTAAAGAAAGGTTTTGCACTGTTGCTCAGGATGGAATCATGATTCACTACAGCCTCAATCTCCTAGGCTCAAGCCATCCTCCTGCCTCAGCCTCCAAAGTAGCTGAGACTACAGGTGTGCACCACCACACGGCTAAATTTTTTTATTTTTAGCAGAGACAAAGTTTCCTTATGTTGCCCAGGTTGGCCTCAAACTCCAGAGCTCAAGTGATTCACCTGTCTTGGCCTCCCAAAGTGCTGGGAGTGCAGGTGTGAGCCACTATGCCTGAACAGCTGAACAGTGTATCTATATATATTTTTTTGAACTCTGTTGCCCAGGCTAAAGTGCAAAGGTGCAATCTTGGCTCATTGCAATCTTCGCCTCCTGGGTTCAAGTGATTCTCATGCCTCAGTCTCCTGAGTAGCTGGGATTAAAGACATGGGCCACCACACCTGGTTAATTTTTTTCTTTTTTTTTTTTAGGTGGAGTCTTGCTGTGTTGCCCAGGCTGGAGTGCAGTGGTGCAATCTCGGCTCACTGCAACCTCCGCCTCCCAGGTTCAAGTGATTCTCCTGCCTCAGCCTCCCACATAGCTGGGATTACAGGTGCATGCTACCACACCCAGCTAGTTTTTGTATTTTTGTAGAGATGGGGCTTCTCTATGTTGGCCAGGCTGGTCGCAAGTTCCTCACCACACGTGATCCGCCCACCTCGACCTCCCAAAACGCTGGGCCCCCAGTGTGTATTTCTAACGGGCTATTCTGGGTGATTTTCAAATAAGTGTATTTTAAAGCAGACTTTTTTCCCCCATGGTCATACAGAAAAAGCTCTCCATTATACTGTGCCATGAATAATACTTGCATGCTCTATTGAGCTATTGTGTAAATAGTTAAAACTGTATGCTGTATTTATGAGTTGTTTTCCCTTCCTCTGTGTTGTTAAAGTAAAGCTGAATGGGAGAAATCCAGACCCAATTATCCATGCTTCAGAATCTAAGAGATTTTTAGGATGGCACATCTTCAGTGTCATCTCATCTTCTACTGTGTTTTAAGGATGATTCTGCATTCAGCAGCCACTTTAGAGCTTGCTTAGTAAAACAGAAAATCACACACAAAATGACGAGAAAATCACCCACATTTATTTACTCAACAAATATTTATCAAGAGTTGACTATATACTAGGTCCTGTGCTAAATATCCTGCAGATTGTTTATAGGTCAGAAACTGTGGGGAAGAACAAACAGAGTAAGAAACTTTCTTCTCCTTGAAAATAAGTATATTTTATAAATAATTGAGGCAGAGAAAACACTAATACTTCCTTTTTGGGAAGAATCGTTCTCCAGGGAGGCATGCTTGGGCCAATCATTTAGCTGAAATGATCACTAAACATACAAACATACCTTAAAATTCATGAGCAAGGACCATAATAAAGTGAGGTGTTGTATATGGTATACGATTTCCATTTTCCCACCATATATACAATTTGGGTCATTTTACTTGGTGCCATGGGCTAGGAACTCTTAGGGCTGGGAAACAATCTTGGTTTCCCAACAATCTATATCATATAGGTAAAAACTGTAAAACACCACAGTGCAGATGAAATCTAACACTACTAGCTCATTTCATGCTGCTATGGAAGCAGTGAATTAAAATTAAGTCCTATACTGGGGATTGGGCCTTTTATCAGGGCAACTGAGATCAACTGTAAAGAAATTTTCAAATTTCCCTTCTTATCAGGCAAACGGATGGACAATGAAGCCAGTTCAGAGGCCCAGCCAAGACAATGATGCACAGGGAAGCTCCCTCGAGCTCCAGCGGTCACCTAGTAACTTCGAAGACACTGAGAGGTAATACTGCAAAGTCGTGCTGTCATTTTTTTAATGTCTCACATATATTCCAAGCAATATCCATTAGCAAACAAACATCCAGGAATAGTGTCATCTCATCTACTAATAACCCTTTATTTAGTATCTTAAAAAAGATTTTGTAAGACACAAAACTTTCCATCAAAAAGTTGTTTATTTAAAAATACCTTCTCCCAATTCTGATTCCATATCAGATTAAATCAAGAAGTGGTATTACAGCAATAAATCATCAAAGTCATGAGTAGGGAGGATGGCAATGACCCCATTAGCTCATTAGTATAATCTAGTAAGTGAAACACAAATTCAACTCATTCACTTCTTCACAAAAGGCAGACATAAGCGGTATACTTCATATAAAAAAACTAGTTTATAAAGCTTGTCTTCATATTTCAGTTTAAGGTTCAGCTGATATAAAATGCCTTAAAAGACCATCCAAGCAATGCTTTGGATTTTCTTTTTTTTGCAAAATTCAAGGAAAACATGATTGTTTGAAGTTTCTTCACCGCTGGTGAATTAGTTAAGAGCTACCTGAGATTCCTTTGCACTTCCACTCTTCCACTCTTTGAATTTCCAGTGATTAAAATATGCCAGAGACATAATTTAGAGAGCGCTAGAAACGGCACACAGAGCTCAATGCTTAAAAAAGTTTCTGGCCAGGCACAGTGGCTCATGCCTGTAATCCCAGCACTTTGGGAGGCCAAGGCGGGCAGATCACTTGAGGTCAGGAATTCAAGACCAGCCTGGCCAACATGGTGAAACCCCGTCTCTACTTAACAACAACAACAACAACAACAACAAAAAAAAAAAAAACCCAGGTGTGGTGGTGGGTGCCTGTAATCCCAGCTACTCGGGAGGCTGAGGCAGGAGAATCACTTGAACCTGGAATGGCAGAGGTTTCAGTAAGCCAAGATCGCGGCACTGTAATACAGCCTGGCAGCAGAGTGAGACTCCATCTCAAAACAAACCAACAGCAACAAAAAGAAAAAACCAACAACAACAAAAAAACCAACAGAGTTTCTGACAGGTTTTGCAAGTTTTTTTTTTTTTTTTTTCTTTCTTTTTTCTTTTGGAGACAGAGTCTCCCTCTGTCACCCAGGCTGTGTGCAGTAGTGTGATCTCAGCTCACTGCAACCTCCGCCTCCCAGGTTCAACCGATTCTCCTCCCTCAGCCTCCTGAGTAGCTGGGATTACAGGCATTTGCCACCATGCTCATGCATGGAGCTTCACCATGTTGGCCAGGCTGGTCTTGAACTCCTGACCTCAAGTGATCCACCCACCCGGGCCTCCCAAAGTGCTGGGATTACAGGCGTGAGCCACCACGCCCGGCCAGGTTTTGAAGTTTTTACAGAATGTACAGAATGTAAGCATTAACAGAGGACTTTCAGAAACACATACATTCAAAGAAAACCTTTTAGTATTCTGAGCATTGACTACTTTGGGGGAAGAACTGTTTCTTTTTGGGATTAAGAAGTCAGTCTTTTCTCAACAGTTTCTTGATAAGCAATAAATCTTCTCAAATTCATTTTCACATTGTCAAGAACACACAGCTGATCTGTGCTACAGTTACCTCTCCCTTCTTTACGTATCTGCAAAAAAACCAAAACAACAACAACAACAAAAAACAGATCATATGTGACTTGGTAGATATTATTAACTCATTTATATAAAGTATTTAATCTAGGGTGTATTTAACCATTTGCTGATAGAGACAGCTGCAAGAATTTGGCAAAAACGTTTTTACTTCCAAGGTAAATGGAACTTGGTAAGTAAAGAATAAACTGAGAATGTGCATGTTAAAAATGATAGTTACAAAGGTGACTGAATGGCAGGTGCTAAGAGTTATATAAACTATAGAAAGGAATTATGTAAACTATGAATTGGGAAAATAACCCCTAACCTCTGAAAGGTCTGCTGTTCAGACTGATTTTCCTAGTTAGTATGCATTGCTATGGTAATAATATTTAATTATTTTTCTTCTCTCAAAGGTATAAAGCCTTAATTAAATTCCTTTGTTAGGCTGGGTACAGACTCATGCCCGTAATCCCAGCAGTTTGGGAGGTTAAGGCGGGTGGATTGCTTGAGTCCAGGAGTTCGAGACCAGCCTGGGCAACACGTGAGACCCCATCTTAAAAAAAAAGAAAAAATTCCTTTGTTAGCCAGAGGTTAGTCTGTAGTGTTGTGGTTTTTTTTGTTTTGGGAACAGGGTCTCTCTCTGTCACCCAGGCCAGAGAGCCGTGGTACAGTCATGGGTCACTGCAGCCTCAACCTCCTGAAAGCAAGTGATCCTCCTGCCTCAGCCACCACAGTAGCTAGGACTACAAGCGGCGCACTACCATGCTGGAGTAATTTTTTTAAATTTTTAGTAGGGGTGGGGTCTCACTATGTTGCCCAGGCTGGTCTTGAACTCCTGGGCTCAAGCGATCCTACCACCTTGGCCTTCCATAGTGCTGGGATTACTGGTGTGAGCCACCATGCCCAGCACTGGTATTGTTTGTTTTTAGTAGAGATGGGTCTTGCTTTGTCACCTAGGCTGGAGTACAGTGCTGCAATCTCAGCTCACTGCAGCCTCCAACTCCTAGGCTCCAGCGATCCTTCTGCTCAGCCTCCTGAGTAGCTGGGACGACAGGCATAAGTCACCACTTAATGGCTAACTTTAAAAATTTTTTTGTAGAGACAAATTCTTGCTATGTCTCCCAGGCTGGTCTTGAAATTCTGGACTCAAGTGATCCTCCTGTCTGGGGCTCCCAAAGTGCTGGGATTACAGGTGTGAGCCACTGCACCTGGCCTGTGGTTTTTTATAACAATTGTATGGAATCTGAGTTTGATCTCATCTCTAGTCTAGAGCAGTGGCTCTCAGGTTTTAGTGTGCAACAGCATCACCTGGAAGGCTTGTTAAAAAACAGACTGGTAGGCCCATCCATAGAGTCTGTGACTCAGTAGGTCTGGAGTTGGGGCCAAGGACCTGCATTTCGAATAAGTTACCAGGCAGGGCTGATGCTGCTGATACAAGGAGGGCACTTTTGAGAAACACTGCTCAAGAGAAGTTCTTGATTGTACATAAATGCATTTTGTAGCTAAATATACACTGAACAGCCTTTAATACAAATTGTGGCTTCATTTCGCAAAGAAAGTTTCATATAAATAACTACAGGCTAGCTTCTGGCTAGTAAGAAATCTCATTAGAGCTTTATACCTTTGATAAAAGAAAAACAAATGTTATTACCACAGCAATACATACTGAGTAGGAAAATCAATCAGAACAAAGACCTTTCAGAAGTCGGGGGTTATTTTCCCAGTTCACTGTTTATCTAACCTTTTCTAAGCACCTGCTTCTGCAGAGTTTGATGACTCTTAACTATTAAAATATCTGCTTTCCTTAAAGTTGCAGGGAAATAGGGGATATTTTTTCCTTATCTTGCAAGCTCTTTATCCAGAAATTTAAAGGACTGTAACCTTTAAAAACAATATGGTTAGGCATGGAGGCTCACACCTGTAATCCCAGGACTTTGGGAGGCCAAGGTGGGGGAACACCTGAGGTTGGGAGTTCGAGAGCAGCCTGGATGACAAGGTGAAACCCAGTTTCTACTAAAAATACAAAAATTAGTTGGGTGATGTGGACACCTGTAATCCCAGCTACATGGGAGGCTGAGGCACAAGAATCACTTGAACCGAGGAAGGAGAGGTTGCAGTGAGCCAAGATTGCGCTACTGCACTCCAGCCTGGGCAACAGGGCAAGATTCTGTCTCAAAAACACACAAAAGTAAAATTAAATAAATGCAAAATGTGTATGAAAGTGCTTTACAAAATACAGAGTATAATACTGACATATATGAAGCATTGTCAAAATTACTGAACTGTTAAAAAAAGAAGAACTTGTCAGATACCATTTTGGCTTCAGTTTCAGTGATTCAATAGTCACACTGTTGAGCTATGACTCAGTCAATAAACATTTTACAAAGTACTGGGGATGCTGTGCTACGTATGGGGATTTGTCATGCACATGCTTCTGAATTGCACAGCGGTAACTACACACACCCTCGTCCCCACAGAATGTTCAGACTTACGCATTTATAAGTTAAATGGCTACAAACCTTCATTTTAAAGACCGGCTGGAATTCTTTCAGAGCAGATAATAATTTAATTTCAATCGAGGCTCTTTCGGCTTCTTTACCATCTGCAAAAACATCAAAGAGGGCATCCAAAGCTTCTCCTGCTACCACAAGGGAAGGATCTTTGGTGGTAACCTCAAGCAGAAAGCACCCAATATTCTAGAAACAACAAAACACATTTAATATGACTAACACCAGTCTCCAAAACAAGTACTAACTTTGAATGCGGCAATAACTCATGCATATTATTTTATATACAAATGCCAGGGAAAAATTAAAACTTTAAGAGATCAGACTTAAATACTTATAAACATACCAAGTATAAGCAAGATAAATTAAACATATTATAGTTTATATTCATAAAGTGAATTAAAAACCATAAATGATGTATGATTTAGGAAATCACTAAACTTTCCTCTCTACCTCTCTCAAAAGGCTTGCTCTATGATGTCAAGATGCATAGAAATCTTTTCTGTAACAACGACAACAAAAAATCTGCTTTTAAAAGCATAAGAAAAACACTTTAGGGCCAGTCGCAAGTGGCTCACACTTGTAAGTTCAGCACCTTGTGAGGCCAAGGCAGGAGGATCACTTGAGCCCAGGAGTTCGAGACCAGCCTCAGCAATGGAGCAAGACTTCATCTCTAAAAAATGTAAATAGGACTGATTTGAATCTAAACTAGTCTGTAAATCTAACTGTCAGTGTGCAAGACATAAAAGGATAAAAGAACAAATTTAGCACCACAAGGTAGCAATCAGACAAATCCAGAAGGCTGGACACCATATAGGACAATTGATTCAGGAGCTGAGAATAACCAGGTGGTGCCGGGGAGGAATTGTTCAAGATTAAGAGAGAAAGAGAAGACCCCACAAGAAACATAACATGTGGACTTCAGCAATGTAAACAAGCTCTTTGTAAACAGATAATTTTGAGGCAACTTTAAAATTATGAATATGGACTGGAATTAGACACACTAAGAAATAACTGTTGCCGGGTGCAGTGGCTCATGCCTGTAATCCCAGCACTCTGGGAGGCTGAAGGGGGCAGATGGCTTGAGCCCAGGAGTTCAAGACCAGCCTGGCCAACATGGCAAAAACCCACCTCTATTAAAAATAGAAAAATTAGTCAGGTGTGGTAGGGGGCACCTGTAATCCCAGCTACTCGGGAGGCTGAGGCAGAAGAATTGCTTGAACCCAGAGGAGGAGGTTGCAGTGAGCCGAGATCGCACTACTGCACTCCAGCCTGGGTGACAGAGTGAGACTCCATCTCGGGGGAAAAAAAAAAAAGCTTTGCAAGTATCATTTTTCAAAAATAGATTCTTAAAAACATCAGTCATCACTGTAAAGTTCTTAGCAGGTGAAGAGGTACTTTATAATAATGAGTTTACTATCCATTAGTCTCACACTTCAGCAATTATTAGCACACCAAAGGGTAATTTTACTATGACTGTCCTTTTAATTACTAGTGACGCTGTACTCCTAACAGTGCAGTTTGTAAGCAACTACGCCAAGTGTTAAGAGTAAATATGCTGAGGGAATTCCTAGTATATTGGCACTACCAGGGTTGCTGCTTAACATTTATGGAGTGGTATTAGAATTAACTGTGTGGTATTTTTCAGAATGCATGTTGCCTGATGTGCAAGGAAAATGGTGTGGATTGTTCCTTCATCAGCAGGAGAATGTAACATGCATACATTGGATACAACAGCAAAGGCAGTAGGCATCTTTTAAAATTCTGAATTTGCCCTTTCACTAAAGAGAGATTTATTTTTTTAAAAAAAGTACCTCTGGAATAACATTAAATTGTAAAATGTGGCTCAACTTTTCAAGTACTTACCTAATTAATACACATGGTTAGATCAAGCCAAAGGGTACATTCTAATAATATAACTCAATAAAGCAACTTGATATGACTTCTTCTCTTCATGTCCACACAAGTTTTAGGAAATCCTACACCAACAGTTCTTCTCCTCCCATTTCTAATTATTTAACATGTTAGGTCAGAAGCAAACTGTTTTACCTTAAGAGTTTCAAGTGTACCATCTTCTTTGGCAAGGACGCTGCCAGTGATTCCTAAAATGCTAACGACATTCACTCTAACCCCGACATTACTACTATGAATGCCTGCTTTGCATAATGTCATCAGCTGATCAGGAGTCATGCACTGTTGAAAGAGAAGAGGAGAGTATTTATAATGTTAAACTCAATCAATTATATCAGCATGCAAAAACTGGACTGACGGGAATCTCCTCTATAGGCTGCAGGATTTTAAGAGTGACATAAACTCCTGGCAGGTAAGTTACTATTAATATATACTCCAGTTCTCCCAGACAGAGCTGGTAATTCTGAACTAAGATGAGCCCTGCTCATGTCGCCATTGTTATCTTAATATCAAAGGGGCTCCAGGTCCTATTCATTTAATTTGATGAAGACTTTCATTCCAGATGTACACAGACTAAAGAGATTCCAATTTCTTTTTAATATTAATGGTAAAAAAAAAAAAAAAAAAAGGGCTTTGAAAGCATAAACAGGATTGTGTAGCTTTAAAAAAACTGGCTGAGTCTATACAAGGCAAGAACTTACTTTGAGATGTTTGTATTATCATAATTAAACATTGTAAAAACCATTACATTATATGGTGCTTCTACCATGTAGTGGGTAATTTTCAGTTTAAGGCTGGGCGCAGTGGCTCATGCCTGTAATCTCAGCTACTCGGGAGGCTGAGGCACAAGAAATGCTTGAACCCGGGAGACAGAGGTTGTAGTGAGCTGAGATCATGCCACTGAACTCCAGCCTGGGCAACAGAGTGAGACTATCTCCTATAAGCAGCAGCACAGTGTGGTGATGAAAGGCTTGGAATCTGGAGCCAGACACCCTGGGTTCAAATCCTAGCTTCACTACTTAGCACTCGCGTGCGCCCCTACACTAGACTAATTTATTTTTAGTTTTTGTAGACATGAAGTCTCACAAAGTTGCCCAGGCTGTTCTTGAATTCTTGGGCTCAAGCAATCCTCCCGCCTCAGGCTCCCAAAGTGTTAGGATTATCAGCATGAACCACTTCACCTGGCCCTGAGCATGGGCTTTGAGTAATTTTCCTTAACCATCACACTGATCCCATAAGCTGCTGCTTATATACCAGGGGAAATCAATAAAAATACTTGATATTCCTATAGGCCCTAGAGTATAAGGTTTTCTGGTCCATCCAACAGCCACACAGCATGCTATGCATCCCATTACCATTCCCATTTCTTAGAAACTGAAGGTCAAATTATGCTCTTCAAAAAAATTCTTAGCTTCGGAAAGCTGAGGCAAGAGGATCACTTGAGGCCAGGAGTTTAAGACCAGCCTGGGCAACATAGCAAGACCTCATCTCTATTAAAAAATAAAAATAAAGTATAAAAAAATTTAAAAGCATTAAGAAAAAAAGTATATAAAGAAGCAAAAAGAAATAGTGTTATTGTGAGCAATAACAAGGGCATTGTTATTTTGATACTATTAAGTACATTCTGTAGGATAAAGCAAATAGTTTTAAAGTCACTACAATTTTAATGTTACTACAGTAAACAATTTTAGTATTACTATATAGCAAATAATTTTAATGTCTTTTAATGTCACTACTACAAAGTACATTCTGTAGGAGAAAGCAAATAATAAAATTTTGAAAAATCTTTTTCTTTCTTCTTTTCTCTAATTTTAATTTTTAAAATTATGTATCATTATTATTATTATTATTGTTATTTTTTGAGACGGAGTCTCAAAAAATGCTCTGCCGCCCAGCCTGGACTGCAGTGGTGCGATCTCGGCTCACTGCAAGCTCCACCTCCCGGATTCACGCCATTCTCCTGCCTCAGCCTCCCAAGTAGCTGGGACCACAGGTACCCGCCACCATGCCCGGCTAATTTTTTTGTATTTTTTAGTAGAGACGGGGTTCCACCGTGTTGGCCAGGATGGTCTCGATCTCCTGACCTCATGATCCACCCACTTTGGCCTCCCAAAATGCTGGGATTACAGGAGTGAGCCACCGCGCCTGGCCTATTTTTTATTATTTTTTAAGCCAGTCAAACTTAGCATGGGGGGGTTGTATACCAACTTTAGTGACACAATGTTAATAAGCTCTCATAACCCACTACCATCAGACCAGTTGCAAGTAAGAATTTTAATGTCACTAATGTATCTTTTTGGGTACAATGTACCTTTTTGGTTACAAATGTATCTCTTTTGGGGGTACAAAAAGATACAAATATAAAATCAAAAATTAAGTAAAAACTTGTACCATTTTTTAATTTAAACTGGAAATTATCAGTATAAACTTACTAGTTTTGTCTCCTAAAAAAATGCTTATTTCCTAGCTATTTCCACTAAAAAGACCTAGAAACAATGACAACATGGTAGCAATAAGCACTCTATAATTCAGTTTCCCAACTAAAGACGTCAGAGCTTCTTGGAGAAGTAACTAATTCCAGGGTTTTTTTTTTTGTTTTGAGACAGAGTTTCACTCTTGTCTCACTCTTGTCACCCAGGCTAGAGCTCAGCGCTATTTTGGCTCACTGCAACCTCCACCTCCTGGCTTCAAGTGATTCTCCTGCCTCAGCCTCCTAAGTAGCTGAGATTACAGGCACGTGCCACCACGCCCAGCTAATGTTTGAATTTTCAGTAGAGATGGAGTTTTGCCATGTCGGTCAGGCTGGTCTCGAACTCCTGACCTCAAGTGATCCGTCCACCTCAGCCTCCAAAAGTATTGGGATTATAGGCATGAGCCACTGTGCCCAGTCAGATTCCAGGTTTTAAGCAAGAAAATCTTATGCCTGGAAGCAAAAGTGATCAAAAACCTAAAATTCTTGTCAAAGAGACACAGGAGCCAATTTGAAGGGACTCCTACTATCCAAAGATGCGATGAATTTGGCAGCAAAAAGCCTGACTGTAATGGAATGAAATACAAATATATTAGAGAAAAAAAAAAATCACTGGCCACTTAATAGAGATTGCTAGGATACCTATTCTGGAAAAAACAAAAAACAAAAAACAAAAAAAACATAGCTAATAAATGTAAAAAATAGACAAAATTAGGATATCTCTATTCTGCAACCCACTAATGACATAATGGAGTCAGGCAACCACAATCACTGGTTATGAAACCATTAACGTGAACTCACTAATTAATCTCAGCTTCACTATTTTATGATACCACATGATTTGTGATATAAATGTAGAAATATATATAGCACTATAAATTATTCCTGCCAAAAAATCTGGACCTGTCTAGATTACTTATTATAAATATAAAAAAAAAAACAAAAAATAATCTGGAGCTGGATCTAATTAAGGCTCTAGACCTAGCTCCCGGCTCACAGGAAACACAGGGGACAGAGGAATGCTGAATGATTGAACCCAAGAGACTAGCCTGGGCAACACAGTAAGACCCCGTCTCAAAAAACAAAGCAACGGAATTATCTCTGCTTTTAGGAATGTTTGAAAATCTCCTCAGTAAAAAGTTAACAGAAGTGGTAAGGCACCTATGGGAGATGAAGTGCACATGGATTGCTGTGGAGGGTGAGGAGGACATGCTTGCAAAATCTGTAATGAAATGTTAAAAAAAAAAAAAAAAAAGAGCTGGGTATGGTGGCTCACACCTGTCATCCCAGCACTTTAGGAGGCCAAGACGGGTGGATCACTTGAGGTCAGGCATTCAAGATCAGCCTGGCCACATGGCAAAACCCCATCTCTACTAAAAAAACAAAAATTAGCTGGGTTTGGTGACGCATGCCTGTAATCCCATCTACTTGGGTGGCTGAGGCACGAGAATCATTTGAACCCAGGAGGCAGAGGTTGCAGTGAGCTGAGATCGTGCCACTGCACTCCAGCATGGGCAACAGAGTAAGACTCTGTCTCAAAAAATAAAATAAAATAAAATAAAATAAAAAAAAGACCAATGATAAATTATTTACAACATATTTATCAATTAAGTTGTATTGATTAAAAAGCACTTGTTTAGCTAGTAAGCCTATATATTAAAAAATTTAAAAAATTAAATTAAAAGCACCTGTGTGTTGCTGATGGTAGGGGGCAGAAAGATATTACTTTTTATTTTAATCACTTTTGTTTTCTTTTTTACAAAGATAATTACTCTTGTAACAGAAATATGTATTTTTAAAAATAGTGAAGTAATGAATTTTGCCTCCATAATACAGAATCTTTACAAGTTTCATACAAAAAATTTTAGAACTCTTACCTGGGAAATGTTCTTGGAGGCCATTGTTTGCAAAAGGGCCCTCAAAGCACTACTTATGGCTTCTAGAAAGTCAGCATGTTTAGCAAAATCTAAAACACAAAACTGAAATATAAAATTTGCATTTCTCCAAGATAGGCTATTTTGTAGAAGCAGCAAACGAAACAAAGCATGCTAAATGTGAATAAATGCTATTCTTAATAAAATAAACAAAAAAACCCTCGATATTTAAGCCAAAATATTTAGTTAACAGTCCCCTGTACACTCTAAACCTAAGTCTGAAAGATGATCGTGGTTGAAATAATCACAGCAAGGAGGTCTTCTACAGACAGTCCTTGACTTCAGACACTGGGTTTTCATTTGACTCACACGTTAGCACATAATAAACCTGAGCTAGCTTTTGCAGACTGAATTCTGTCATTCATAGATCTCCATCACGGTGCTGGGTAGACCTACCTTTGGTGGAGTCAGAATGCTTCCTTGCCAACCCAAGCTCACTGCCTAGCCACAAACTGTTGCTTGTGCAGAGCCAGGACATGACAGCACCATCATTTTAACTGACCCAACATCCCCTTCCCACTCCTACTCCTTATTCGCACACTTTTCCTATTGTCCCTTCTTCCCACACAGGACAAACAGAACACCAGCAGTAAGCCATTACTCTGGCACAGGCACGGGCAAAGGACAGTGAGGGTCACCCAGGGGAGTTGGCTCCTTAACCCCTTTGATGGGAAGAGATTTGCTTGGTGTGGTAAACTGTATTTTCTAAAAATGGCCACAGCAATATTTCAAGTCCTGTGTGATCTTCAAGAACCTTGCCACTTCCTATAAAGATGTGAAATCTACTTCTCCTTTCCTTAAATCAGGGTAGGACTTTGTGACTTCTTCAACCAACAGAATACAAAGTGACAGTCACAAAAGGCAGTATGACTTCCAGCCCTGACGCATGTGTGCGAGCTCTTTTTTCTCTCAACTTCTGCCCTGGGAACCTAGCCATCCTGTTATGCAGAAGCCCATGTCACATGAAGAGGTCACCGTGGGTGTTCTACCTGACAACCGCTGCACCAACTGCCAGACACATGAGTGCACAACACTTCGGATGATTCTGGCCCACACTCTGCAAGTTTTCCAGCAGAGGCCCTAGACTAGCATTTCTCAGCCTCTGCACTACTGACATTTTGGACCAGATAATTCTTCATTTTGTGTGTGTGCAGGGGTCTCCTGGGCACCGCAGGATGTGAAGGAGCATTCCTGGCCTCAACCCTCTAGATACCAGTTGCAATTTCCAAGTTGTAAAACCAAAAATTCCTTCAGATGTTGCCAAATGTCCCCAGGTGGGAGGTGAAAGGGGATAAGTGGCTATGGTTGAGAACCACTGGCCTAGACATTGTGGAGTAGGAACAAGCCATCTCCACTGTGCCCTAAATTCTTGACCTAAGGAAACTTTGAGAAATAATAAATGATTGTTGTTGTTTTAAGTCACAGAGTTTTGGGGTAATTTGTTATGCAGCAATAGATACACTCATTTCCTGCCCCACAGTGCCTGGGACTCGATACCATTCCGATCCCCCGCTTTTAGGTTACCTGGGTGGAAGAGAGGCAGCTTCTGTTCAAATTTTAATCCTGGTTGATTTTATTTTTTGGCTCTTTCATTTTCAGATATATAAAATGTACCAAAATAGGGGACTTCCCGTAATGATCACAGAACAAGTAATAGGAGACCTGGGATAGAGTAATTATGTGACTCCTCCCACCTTCATTTTAGTCTTGGCTCAAACGTTACCTCCTCACAGAGGCCTTTCCACACTAACTGGCCTAGTGTAACGCCTCATATCATTCTGCTTTTATTGTTTTCTTCATAGCTAATATCACATAAAACATTTATTTCTACTAGAATGCAAACTCCACGAACATAGTGACCGGGCTTATCTTGTTCACGCCTGCAACCCTAGCATTTAGAACAGTGTACGACACAAAGCGTTCAATAAATACAAGTTAAAAGAATGAATGACCTTGGGCTGGGTGTAGTGGCTCACACCTGTAATTCCAGCACTTTGGGAGGCTGAGATAGGCGGATCACGAGGTCAGGAGATCAAGACCATCCTGGTTAACATGGTGAAACCCCATCTCTACCAAAAATACAACAAATTAGCTGGGTGTGGTGGTGGGCGCCTGTAGTCCCAGCTACTCGGGAGGCTGAGGCAGAAGAATGGCATGAACCCGGGAGGCAGAGCTTGCAGAGAGCCGAGATTGTGCCACTGCACTCCAGCCTGGGCGACAGAGCAAGACTCCGTCTCAGAAAAAGAAAAAAAAGAATGAATGACCTGGAAGAGGTTCCTTAATCTCTCAGCTAAGGTTCCTAAATCTCAGCTTCCTCAGCAGGATGATGAAGTAATAAGGCCTATCTCTTAAAACATGGTACCTAACAGGCACTCAAAAATCAGCGTGAAGTTGTTAATACATTTGAGTTTTTTTTGAGACAGGGTCTTGCTCTGTCACCCAGGCTGGTGTGCAGTGGTGTGATCTAGGCTCACTGCAGCCTGGACCTCCTGGGCTCAAGCAATCCTCCTGCCTCAGCCTCCCGAGTAGGTAGCACCACAGGCACGTGCCACCATGTCCAGCTAATTTTTCTTGTATTTGTAGAGATGGGGTCTCATCATATGTACAGGCTGGTCTCAAACTCTTGAGCTCAAGCAATCCACCCGCCTCAGCCTCCCAAAGTGCTATGATTACAGGTGTGTGCCACCCTGTCCAGCCAATTTGTTGCTATTAAACTTCAAAAAGTTACCACATTGACTGTGAAATGTATATTTGATTAAATGTCTAAATATAGCCCTATAAATTTATGAATTGTACACAAAGAGGTGATTCAAAATGTCTTTACTCTTAACAACTTTGAACAGTATTTAAGAATTTGTAGCACGTCTAAATGTAGGTACATAATCAACGCAGGAGTAATTACACTCAGGTGAATTTTTCAGACTGATTTTAATTTTTTTTTTTTTTTAGACAGAGTCTCACTCTGTCGCTCAGGCTGGAGTATAGTGGCAAGATCTGGGCTCACTGCAACCTCCGCCTTCCAGGTTCAAGCAATTCTCCCGCCTCAGCCTCCCAAGTAGCTGGGATTACAGGTGTGCACCACCACGCCCAGCTAATTTTTGTATCTTTAGTAGATATGGGGTTTCACCATGTTGGCTAGGCTGGTCTTGAACTCCTGACCTCAGGTGACCTGCCCGCCTTGGCCTCCCAAAGTGCTGGGATTATAGCTGTGAACCACCATGCCCAGCCTGAATTTTCTTTTTTTCTTATTTTTAATTAATTAATTATTTTTTTTTTTTTGAGACGGGAGTCTTGCTCTGTCACCCAGGCTGGAGTGCACTGGTGCGATTTCGGCTCACTGCAATCTTCACCGCCTGGGTTCAAGCAGTTCTCCTGTCTCAGTCTCCCAAGTAGCTGGGACCACAGGTGCACGCCACCATGCCCGGCTAATTTTCGTATTTTTAGTGGAGACGGGATTTCACCATATTGGTCAGGCTGGTCTCAAACTCCTGACCTCAGGTGATCCAACTGCCTTGGCCTACCAAAGTGCTGGGATTACAGGCGTGAGCCACCGCGCCCAGACACCCAGTCTGAATTTTCAATATTCTGATGTGGAATGGAAAATATATCCCAGAATGAGATACTACCATTTTAATTATAACTAAAAAAGAACGTTCTGATTCTGAAAATCTGGAAAAACAGAATCCTAAATTTCAGAACTCATGTAATAGAGCTGAATGACAGACTGACCCAATATGAAATACAACATTCCTAAAAAACACATTGATGTTTTGAAAACCAATAGCTTTTAATGAAGGAGACAAAGATAATAGTGCTTTTGAATGCAAGGACCAGATTGTACTAAAACGTCCTCCTTTTATCTCTGATATCAGACACAAACATAAATGTAGGTATGTACAGAGTATCACAAACATTATAACTACTGTATTCAGAACTGTATTTAGCATTAAAATTAAAACAAGTTAGATAGAGCAGTAGAACCATCATACCTTTAACTCTCAACCATAACATAAAACAGCAGAGATATTTAGCCCCATTCTCCCCACTAAATTCTCTATTTTTTTTTTTTTTTTAAATTGAGACAGAGTCTCACTCTGTTGCCCCGGCTGGAGTACAACAGCACAATCATAGCTCATTGCAGCCTTGACCTCCTGGGCTCAGGCAATCCTCCCACTTTAGCTTCCACAGGCGCAAGCAAGCTACCACTCCTGGCTAATTAAAAAACCTTTTTTGGTGGGGACATTGTATCACTATGTTGCCCAGGCTGGTCTTAAACTCTTGGGCTCATGTGATCCTCCCAATTCAGCTCCCAAAGTGCTGGGATTTCAGGTGTGAGCCACCGTGGCCAGCCTCCACTAAATTATCTTGTAACATTTCCCACTATCCATATAGAACCCATAGGATTACATTATTAATAAATCTCAAATGCTTACAAGGACTGTATTAGAATATCATCTCTAGGACAAGCACGGCAGCTCATGCCTATAATCCCAGCACTTTGGGAGGTCAAGGTGGGTGGATAATAAGGTTAGGAGTTCAAGACCAGCCTGGCCAACATGGTGAAACCCGTTTCTATTAAAAATACAAAAATCAGCCAGGCGCTCATTCACCAAAGCTGAAATGAAGGAAAAAATTTATTAAGGCCAGAGAGAAAGGTCGGGTTACCTACAAAGGGAAGCCCATCAGACTAACAGCAGATCTCTTGGCAGAAACTCTACGAGCCAGAAAAGAGTGGGGCCAATATTCAACATTCTTAAAGAAAAGAATTTTCAACCCAGAATTTCATATCCAGCCAAACTAAGCTTCATAAGTGAAGGAGAAATAAAATCCTTTACAGATAAGCAAATGCTTAGAGATTTTGTCACCACCAGGCCTGCCCTACAAGAGCTCCTGAAGGAAGCACTAAACATGGAAAGGAAAACCGGTACCAGCCACTGCAAAAACATTCCAAATTGTAAAGACCATCGATGCTAGGAAGAAACTGCATCCACTAACAAGCAAAATAACCAGCTAACATCATAATGACAGGATC